ACTCCGCTCCGCCTCTTGGAACTCCGCTCCGCCTTTTAGAACTCCGCTCCTCCTTTTAGAACTCCGCTCCTCCTTTTAGAACTCCGCTCCTCCTTTTAGAACTCCGCTCCGCCTTTTAGAACTCCGCTCCGCCTCTTGGAACTCCGCTCCGCCTTTTAGAACTCCGCTCCTCCTTTTAGAACTCCGCTCCTCCTTTTAGAACTCCGCTCCTCCTTTTAGAACTCCGCTCCGCCTTTTAGAACTCCGCTCCGCCTCTTGGAACTCCGCTCCGCCTCCTGGAACTCCGCTCCGCCTTTTAGAACTCCGCTCCACCTTTTAGAACTCCGCTCCTCCTTTTAGAACTCCGCTCCGCCTTTTAGAACTCCGCTCCGCCTCTAGGAACTCCGCTCCACCTTTTAGAACTCCGCTCCGCCTTTTAGATCTCCGCTCCGCCTCTTGGAACTCCGCTCCGCCTCTTCGAACTCCGCTCCGCCTTTTAGAACTCCGCTCCGCCTTTTAGAACTCCGCTCCACCTTTTAGAACTCCGCTCCGCCTCTAGGAACTCCGCTCCACCTTTTAGAACTCCGCTCCACCTTTTAATACTCCGCTCCACCTTTTAGAACTCCGCTCCACCTTTTAGAACTCCGCTCCGCCTCTTGGAACTCCGCTCCGCCTTTTAGAACTCCGCACCTCCTTTTAGAACTCCGCTCCGCCTCTTAGAACTCCGCTCCGCCTTTTAGAACTCCGCTCCGCCTCTTGGAACTCCGCTCCGCCTTTTAGAACTCCGCTCCACCTTTTAGAACTCCGCTCCGCCTTTTAGAACTCCGCTCCGCCTCTTGGAACTCCGCTCCGCCTTTTAGAACTCCGCTCCTCCTTTTAGAACTCCGCTCCTCCTTTTAGAACTCCGCTCCTCCTTTTAGAACTCCGCTCCGCCTCTTGGAACTCCGCTCCGCCTTTTAGAACTCCGCTCCGCCTTTTAGAACTCCGCTCCGCCTCTTGGAACTCCGCTCCGCCTTTTAGAACTCCGCTCCGCCTTTTAGAACTCCGCTCCGCCTCTTGGAACTCCGCTCCGCCTTTTAGAACTCCGCTCCGCCTTTTAGAACTCCGCTCCGCCTCTTGGAACTCCGCTCCGCCTCTTGGAACTCCGCTCCGCCTTTTAGAACTCCGCTCCGCCTTTTAGAACTCCGCTCCGCCTCTTGGAACTCCGCTCCGCCTTTTAGAACTCCGCTCCTCCTTTTAGAACTCCGCTCCTCCTTTTAGAACTCCGCTCCTCCTTTTAGAACTCCGCTCCGCCTTTTAGAACTCCGCTCCGCCTCTTGGAACTCCGCTCCGCCTCCTGGAACTCCGCTCCGCCTTTTAGAACTCCGCTCCACCTTTTAGAACTCCGCTCCTCCTTTTAGAACTCCGCTCCGCCTTTTAGAACTCCGCTCCGCCTCTAGGAACTCCGCTCCACCTTTTAGAACTCCGCTCCGCCTTTTAGATCTCCGCTCCGCCTCTTGGAACTCCGCTCTGCCTCTTGGAACTCCGCTCCGCCTTTTAGAACTCCGCTCCACCTTTTAGAACTCCGCTCCACCTTTTAGAACTCCGCTCCACCTTTTAGAACTCCGCTCCACCTTTTAATACTCCGCTCCACCTTTTAGAACTCCGCTCCACCTTTTAGAACTCCGCTCCGCCTCTTGGAACTCCGCTCCGCCTTTTACAACTCCGCTCCTCCTTTTAGAACTCCGCTCCTCCTCTTAGAACTCCGCTCCGCCTTTTAGAACTCCGCTCCGCCTTTTAGAACTCCGCTCCGCCTTTTAGAACTCCGCTCCTCCTTTTAGAACTCTGCTCTACCTTTTAATACTCCGCTCCACCTTTTAGAACTCCGCTCCACCTTTTAGAACTCCGCTCCGCCTTTTAGAACTCCGCTCCACCTTTTAGAACTCCGCTCCACCTTTTAGAACTCCGCTCCGCCTCTAGGAACTCCGCTCCACCTTTTAGAACTCCGCTCCGCCTCCTCGCTCCGCCTTTTAGAACTCCGCTCCGCCTTGCTCCGCTCCGCCTCTTGGAACTCCGCTCCGCCTTTTAGAACTCCGCTCCGCCTTTTAGAACTCCGCTCCGCCTTTTAGAACTCCGCTCCGCCTCTTGGAACTCCGCTCCGCCTTTTAGAACTCCGCTCCTCCTTTTAGAACTCCGCTCCTCCTTTTAGAACTCCGCTCCCCTTTTAGAACTCCGCTCCGCCTTTTAGAACTCCGCTCCGCCTCTTGGAACTCCGCTCCGCCTGGAACTCCGCTCCGCCTTTTAGAACTCCGCTCCACCTTTTAGAACTCCGCTCCTCCTTTGAACTCCGCTCCGCCTTTTAGAACTCCGCTCCGCCTCTAGGAACTCCGCTCCACCTTTTAGAACTCCGCTCCGCCTTTTAGATCTCCGCTCCGCCTCTTGAACTCCGCTCTGCCTCTTGGAACTCCGCTCCGTTTTAGAACTCCGCTCCGCCTTTTAGAACTCCGCTCCACCTTTTAGAACTCCGCTCCACCTTTTAGAACTCCGCTCCACCTTTTAGAACTCCGCTCCACCTTTTAGAACTCCGCTCCACCTTTTAGAACTCCGCTCCTCCTTTTAGAACTCCGCTCCACCTTTGAACTCCGCTCCGCCTTTTAAACTCCGCTCCGCCTTTTAGAACTCCGCTCCTCCTTTTAGAACTCCGCTCCGCCTCTTGGAACTCCGCTCCGCCTTTTAGAACTCCGCTCCTCCTTTTAGAACTCCGCTCCTCTTTTAGAACTCCGCTCCGCCTTTTAGAACTCCGCTCCGCCTCTAGGAACTCCGCTCCGCCTTTTAGAACTCCGCTCCTCCTTTTAGAACTCCGCTCCTCCTTTTAGAACTCCGCTCCCCTTTAGAACTCCGCTCCGCCTCTTGGAACTCCGCCCGCTTTTAGAACTCCGCTCCTCCTTTGAACTCCGCTCCTCTTGAACTCCGCTCCCCTCTTGAACTCCGCTCCGCCTCTTGGAACTCCGCTCCGCCTTTTAGAACTCCGCTCCGCCTCTTGGAACTCCGCTCCACCTCTTGGAACTCCGCTCCGCCTTTTAGAACTCCGCTCCGCCTCTTGGAACTCCGCTCCGCCTTTTAGAACTCCGCTCCTCCTTTTAGAACTCCGCTCCGCCTCTTGGAACTCCGCTCCGCCTTTTAGAACTCCGCTCCGCCTCTTGGAACTCCGCTCCGCCTTTTAGAACTCCGCTCCTCCTTTTAGAACTCCGCTCCGCCTCTTGGAACTCCGCTCCGCCTTTTAGAACTCCGCTCCGCCTTTTAGAACTCCGCTCCGCCTCTTAGAACTCCGCTCCGCCTTTTAGAACTCCGCTCCGCCTTTTAGAATCCGCTCCGCCTCTTGGAACTCCGCTCCGCCTTTAGAACTCCGCTCCTCCTTTTAGACTCCGCTCCTCCTTTTAGAACTCCGCTCCTCCTTTTAGAACTCCGCTCCCCTTTTAGAACTCCGCTCCGCTTTTGGAACTCCGCTCCGCCTCCTGGAACTCCGCTCCGCCTCTTGGAACTCCGCTCCTCCTTTTAGAACTCCGCTCCTCCTTTTAGAACTCCGCTCCTCCTTTTAGAACTCCGCTCCGCCTTTTAGAACTCCGCTCCGCCTTTTAGAACTCCGCTCCTCCTTTTAGAACTCCGCTCCTCCTTTTAGAACTCCGCTCCTCCTTTTAGAACTCCGCTCCGCCTCTTGGAACTCCGCTCCCCCTTTTAGAACTCCGCTCAGCCTTTTAGAACTCCACTCCGCCTCTAGGAACTCTGCTCCGCCTTTTAGAACTCCGCTCCTCCTTTTAGAACTCCGCTCCTCCTTTTAGAACTCCGCTCCGCCTTTTAGAACTCCACTCCGCCTCTAGGAACTCCGCTCCTCCTTTTAGAACTCCGCTCCTCCTTTTAGAACTCCGCTCCTCCTTTTAGAACTCCGCTCCTCCTTTTAGAACTCCGCTCCTCCTTTTAGAACTCCGCTCCGCCTCTTGGAACTCCGCTCCGCCTCTTGGAACTCCGCTCCGCCTTTTAGAACTCCGCTCCTCCTTTTAGAACTCCGCTCCGCCTCTTGGAACTCCGCTCCACCTTTTAGAACTCCGCTCCGCCTTTTAGAACTCCACTCCGCCTCTAGGAACTCCGCTCCGCCTTTTAGAACTCCGCTCCTCCTTTTAGAACTCCGCTCCGCCTTTTAGAACTCCGCTCCTCCTTTAGAACTCCGCTCCGCCTTTTAGAACTCCGCTCCGCCTTTTAGAACTCCGCTCCGCCTTTTAGAACTCCGCTCCGCCTCTTGGAACTCCGCTCCGCCTTTTAGAACTCCGCTCCGCCTTTTAGAACTCCGCTCCGCCTCTTGGAACTCCGCTCCGCCTTTTAGAACTCCGCTCCGCCTTTTAGAACTCCGCTCCGCCTTTTAGAACTCCGCTCCGCCTCTTGGAACTCCGCTCCGCCTTTTAGAACTTCGCTCCTTTTAGAACTCCGCTCCTCCTTTTAGAACTCCGCTCCGCCTTTTAGAACTCCGCTCCGCCTCTTGGAACTCCGCTCCGCCTCTTGGAACTCCGCTCCGCCTTTTAGAACTCCGCTCCACCTTTTAGAACTCCGCTCCTCCTTTTAGAACTCCGCTCCGCCTTTTAGAACTCCGCTCCGCCTCTAGGAACTCCGCTCCACCTTTTAGAACTCCGCTCCACCTTTTAGAACTCCGCTCCACCTTTTAGAACTCCGCTCCTCCTTTTAGAACTCCGCTCCGCCTCTTGGAACTCCGCTCCGCCTCTTGGAACTCCGCTCCGCCTTTTAGAACTCCGCTCCGCCTTTTAGAACTCCGCTCCGCCTTTTAGAACTCCGCTCCACCTTTTAGAACTCCGCTCCACCTTTTAATACTCCGCTCCACCTTTTAGAACTCCGCTCCACCTTTTAGAACTCCGCTCCGCCTCTAGGAACTCCGCTCCGCCTCTAGGAACTCCGCTCCGCCTCTAGGAACTCCGCTCCGCCTCTAGGAACTCCGCTCCGCCTCTTGGGTTTGACTCTCCTTCCTCTCCCTGCAGGTCTGTCCAACTCCAGGGAAGGCGAGGCCGAGTCTGATCTCACTCTGACCGACACCGACACCGAGTCAGTACCGCCTTGATCTGTCCGTCTGTCAGAACCACTTTTATCCTGGTGTCTACTGGTTCTGATTCCTGACTGGTTCTGGACCAATGCTGCAGAGTTCAATAAAGACTGGAAGTGAAGACAGGAAGCAGCTTTTCTGTTTCCTGTCTGGACAGGAACTCCAGTACTCTGAGTCCAGAACTCAAAGCCAGTTCTCATAATTGCTGGGCCCGGTTCAGAACGAACCGGGCCCAGCAATTATGGATCGCAGACTGCTGATGTCATCAGGCAGAAGAACAGAGCCTTGAGGAACACCAGAACTCAACGATGTTCAGATTAATTTCCACCAACAGCTGATACACATCTGAATTATGTGTTCGCCAGATTATCTTCAGATTAGATCCTCAAACTGTCATTGGATTGTCAGATCAGATTAAATCTGATACTATTTTATCAGAACCTGAAAGTGATTATCTGGTGTCATGTTTTCATCTGAACACAAACTGAAATAGTTTGAATGAGAGAAGAACATTGATGGGATTGTTTTATTCTTTGTTCTTGATAATCTGAAGGATCTTTGTTCCCTTTTAAGAACCAAAGTAATCATGATCACCCGAAGGCATCAGATGATCCGGTTCTGTGGAGTCAGAACCAGACCTCAGTGAGCCAGACCTTTAAATCTGGCTGAGGTGGTTCCTCAGGCGGTCCGGTCCGGTCCGGGCCACAGAACCGGTCATAGTCTTTGTGGGCTGATTCTCTGGCCTCTGCCTCCCCCTGCTGGTTAAACCAAGCAATAGCCTGAAGAGTCACTGGTTCTGCTCCAGTTCTGCTCCGGTTCTGCTCTGGTTCTGCTCCGGTTCTGCTCTGGTTTGACATTGAAGGAGTTTCAGAACCGCTGCAGAAGAAGTGGACCGGCCGGTTCTGATCCTGTTTCATTACACAGATTGATGTTTAACTGATCAGAACCAGAACCTGACGGGTTCTCCTCCCCTGCAGGTCCGTCAGGATGGTCGCCGCCGGCAGCAGGAAGAGGCGGAGCCAAGGCCGCAGGTACAGCAGCTGCTGATTGGTTGATTCCAGGAAGCTTCAGATTAACAGCTGAGCTGGTTTCCATAGGAACCTGCCAGAGAGGGAGGACGGGGAGGGGCAGGAGACACCTGCCTTCAGCCACTGGGGGGCGCCGCGCAGGTAGGACACACCACCACAGCCTGCTGAACCGGGTTCTCCGTCTCCATCCTGACCCGGTTCTGGCCCGGTCCTCCTCAGGGTGGAGGTGTGGCCGGAGGACGGCCAGTCCCTGGGCCTCAGCATCGTGGGCGGCCGCCACGTCATCAAGCGTCTGAAGAACGGCGAGGAGCTGAAGGGAATCTTCATCAAGCAGGTTCTGGCTGGCAGTCCGGCCGACCGGACCCGCTGCCTGAAGACCGGAGACAAGATCCTGGAGGTAGGACTCTGGTTCTGGCTTTTGTTCCAGTACTGGTCCTGGTTCTGGTTCCAGTCCTGGTTCTGGTTCCCCCTCAGGTGTCCGGTGTGGACCTGCGGGCGGCGAGTCATGAGGAGGCGGTGAGCGTCATCAAGTCTGCTCCGAGTCCGGTCGTCTTCATCGTCCAGAGCCTGTCGGCGACGCCGCGGGTAAACGGGTCACACCAGAACTTTTTGGGTCTGGGTCAGAAATGATCCAAAAATCTGAAAATGAATTCATGTTTGAAGGCCGACGATTTAATTAGGAAATATTGGGAATTTATGCAATTATTAAAATGAAATTTAAGAAAATTTAATCTGGAAAAGTTATAAAATAAACTTATTTTATAACTTTCCAACTGCCATATGCTAATGCTAGCTAAATATCGTCACTGACACTAAACACACCATGCTAATGCTACCATGCTAACAGTAACCACACAATGCTAATAATATTGTGCAATGCTAACAATAGCCACAGGATAAGATCCCTTGCAGCTGTTCTGAGGAGTTCTGCGTCTGTTCATGCTGAGTCAGAGTTCTGTGGTGACGGTTTCTGACCTGGTTCTGTCTGTTTTTTGTGCTGCAGCCGGTGTCGCTAACGGCTTCCAGCTACAGCAAACACAAAGCCAAGCGGACCGATCCTCTGGTAAGGACCGAGCCTCGGAGGCCAGCAGGGGGCGGCAGCAGGCCGGACAGGAACATGGCTCCTGCAGGGTCTTTGTTCCTCATCCTAGCCTTTTTCTGGATCTTTGTTGTGCTAGAATCAGCATGGTGGTACCGCTGACCCAGTTACCTGGTTCTGCTGCCAACCAGCAGGTTCTGTTCTATTTCCCCCAAATGGCTTTAGTTATTCTATTGTTATAAACACGTCAATAAATGAAACTCTTGTTTCTGGAAAACGCCACCTAGTGGATAAAATTATGCATCAGGTCGGGTTCCTCAGTCTCAATAGAACTTCTGACCCGTTTTACTCTGTCGGTGCTGTGAGTCCAGTCGGGTTCTGAAGAGATCCGTCGATCGGTACCAACACCAATTCGGGTCACAACCGGCAGCCTCATTCGGCAGAAGTTCTGATCCAGGCTTCATTTCTTCCCCGGTCAGATCCGGCTCTGGTCCAGAAAGCGCTCCAGAGAGCCTAGAGGACCGCCGGTCCAGAACCCTGCTGGAGGTCCGGATTAGGAGGAAGCTGGATCAGAACTTCCTTTTGTTCTGTACCTGTATTGGGCTCAGGTGGACCTCTCGACCAATCACATCTCTCCCTAACCCCCCCCCCCTCCACAGGTGCCTGAGGTAGCCCTGCCCCCCCTCAGAGAGCCCCCACCCTACAGGCCTCCCAGCCAATCAGAGCAGGAGCTGACAGTTCACCTGCAGAAGGTCAAAGGTGAGAAACACGACCAGCCCTGGTGCAGTCGAGGACAACCGGGCCTGATGGGTTCTGTTGTAAATGTTGGTTCTGTTGGGATTGCATAGAGACCCGGTTCTGATTCCCAGTTGGATCCTGGAGGCCATCGGAACCGGTTTCCGTCTTTGGATGTCTCGGTCCAGTGTCTGATTCTTTTCATAGTGTGTCCTCCAGGACTGGTGTGAACTTTGACCTGTTTGTGTCTTCCAGGACTCGTTTGAGCCAGCGCTCCGTCCGTCCGTTCCTAGTCGTCGTTCGGGAGTCGACGTTTCTGCTAGTCCAGCCTTTTGCTTTTCCTCGCTGTCTGCTCCGGTCTTGGTGCGCTTGGTTTCGGTTCGGGGCGTCTGAGCCGGGTGTGCGGGGCTCTGGGGTTTCTGGCTACTGATTGACATTGTTTCGATGCAAGCAGCTGATTCGCTGCTGGTTTTACTGGAATGGGATTTTCTGCTGGAATCTGATTCTTCCCTCTGGGATTGATTTCTTCTGTCTGCTGATCTTCCTACTTGCTGCCACTGATCCTCCATCCCAACTGATTCTACATCTTAAATCTAATAAACGGGTCAGAACCTGATTTTCTGACCCGCTTTGGTTCTGAATGGTTTCTGTTTGCCCGTGTCTGACGATTGGATCTAAAACTTGCTAATAAAGTTCAGATTAAATTTGATGCGTCTTCAGATTCATTCAGACACGGACTGAGAGCGGGTGGGGGGGTGATACAGGGAGGGAGGGGCATGGAGGGAGATGGGGGGGCATAGAGGGAGACGGGGGGGGGGGGGGGGCATGGAGGGAGATGGGGGGGCATGGAGGGAAATGGGGGGGGCATGGAGGGAAAGGGGGGGCATGGAGGGAGATGGGGGGGGGCATGGAGGGAGACGGGGGGCATGGAGGGAGACGGGGGGGCATGGAGGGAGACGGGGGGGCATGGAGGGAGATGGGGGGGCATGGAGGGGAGGGTGTGATGCAGAGCTGCTCTCCTCCACAGCAGCTCAGCTGACTCACACTAACGGATCGTTTTCTGGTGATCTGCGTGTTGCAGCAACCCGACGAGGAAACCAGTTCTGCTCCACACACTCTGACGCTCTCACTGTCTCTCCCCGTGGATTTATGTCTGAGTGTGAGGACTGGAGCATGGATGATGCTGCCACCGGGTTAGTGAGCTGTCTTTCTGTCTGTCTCTCTCTCTCTGTCTCTCTCTCTCTGCCTCTTTCTGTCTCTCTGTTTCTGTCTCTGTCTCTCTGTTTCTGTCTCTCTCTCTCTGCCTCTTTCTGTCTCTCTGTTTCTGTCTCTGTCTCTCTCTCTCTGTCTCTCTCTCTCTGCCTCTTTCTGTCTCTCTGTTTCTGTCTCTGTCTCTCTGTTTCTGTCTCTCTGTCTTTCTGTCTCTCTCTCTGTCTGTCTGTCTCTGTCTCTCTCTCTGTCTCTCTGTCTTTCTGTCTCTGTCTCTCTGTCTGTCTCTCTCTCTCTCTGGATGTTCTGGTGCTTTCTCTGCCAGAGGTCACCTTTCCTGCCGCTGCAGCAGAACCGGGTCGGGATGCTGCCGTGTCCCTGCTTGCTGCCGCTGATTAGCTGCAGCGCTGAGGTTCTGCTGCAGGAGGAAAGCGGATCTCTTAGCTGCTCCTGGAGAACTTCAGAGTAGAACCGGGTCGCTGCAGCAGAACCGCTTCAGAACATTCTGGTGCATCGTGAGGAAGACTCTAAATCGGATCTCTGAGTTCAGAAACCTCCTGGAAGCTAAAGATGCTCTCTCTGCAGCTTCACAGCTCGCCACTTTATTAGGTACAGCTTGTAGCTGGAGCCCGTTTCACCTCCAGAATCACCTGAATTCTTCTGGGTCCGGATCCAACAAGCTGTCAGAATTTAGTTCTGGTGCAGAAGATGTGAAGGTGGTCAGATAAAGCTCAGGAGGTTCCAATGGGTTCAAAGCGAGCCAAGACATTATCTCCCACAGCATGATACCACCTCCTCCAGGTTCTAACCTGTCCATCAGAAGCGACCAGTTCTGGTCTGGTTCTGGTGGATCCGTTTCTGTTTGTGGACAGTAGTGTGGTCTCCAACTTGATGAATACGAGCTGCTGTTCGGAAAATCAAAAATAAAACGAAAACAATTTTTACTGGAGATATTTTCCTCGTTTCATTAGCAGGCTAAATATACAGCTTTGCTTTGCTTTAGCTTTAGCTTTAGCTGACTGAATACTTAGCCTGCTAATTACATTGAAGCTAAGTGTTTAGCTTCAAGACTGACTTGGTAACTAAGCTTTTGCTGAAGATGCGTGACTGAACCTGTCTGTAAATCTAATGATGATGTGTTGTGCTAAATAATGAGCTAACTCATTGACTGGTTTCATGTTTTGATGTGATTTAACATTCAGATGTGATTTATCCTCTGGTATAAATCACCTTTTATACCAGAGGAACAAAATGATGCACTCAGGTAACATTTTAATTAAATACACCAGTAAAGCCACCAGTGTAAAATGTTAAGAAAATAAGAGTAAAAACTAACTCATGAAAACTTTACTTTAAAAGTTACTTTTTGTGAGCAGGAGAGGAATTTCAAGTCGTTTAGCTGCTGTGCAGAATCGCTCCTTCTAGTGGCGCCCCCTAGAGTGCGGGCACCTTGGCATCTTCTGATCAGGAAAGCTGCTGGAACCACACCGGCCTCCTGGACGACAGCCTGTTGGCCGTCCTGCTGGCCGTCCTGCTGTGTGTTTGTTTTTATTGTGGGAACCCACACTGTTTTTGGGTCAGGGGTCAGATTTAGGACTACGGTGTGAAGTGAGTTTTGGTCAGGGTTAGGGCAGTGGTTCCCAACGTGTGGGGTGCGCACCCTTTGAGGTGCGCAGTACCTTTACAGAGGGGGGCAGGAAGCGTTGTGGACATGAAAGAAACAACAGTTACACAAAAGTGTTTTGCTATAAAGATGGTTTGTAGTTTGTTGCAACCTGAAGTGTGAAATAAACTTCAGTGCAGAATGTGTGTAAAATATGCATAAAAGTTTATCTGGTTGAACGATGTTGATTCTTTTTTCTTTTTGGGGGGATTTTATTGTAATTTATGGGCGCCAGAAAACCTTTGGGTAGGGCTGCAATGTGGCGCAGTGGGTAGCAATGTTGCCTTGTAGCAAGAAGGTCCTGGGTTCGATTCCTGGCCCGGGGTCTTTCTGTACGGAGTCTGCATGGTGGGTTGTCTTCGGGTTTATTGGTCTTTTAAAATTCTCCCTAGGTGTGTGTGTGTGTGTGTGTGTGTGTGTGTGTGTGTGTGTGTGTGTGTGTGTGTGTGTGTGTGTGTGTGTGTGTGTGTGTGAAACTCTGCAGCTTGTTTCGACCTGATGAAGCAGCTCGGTTGGGTTGGTCTGCAGAATCTCCTCCGTTATTGATTGACTGACCCAGAGTGAGCAGAGCTGCTGTCCTTCAGCTCCGTCTGCCTGCAGGCCGCAGCGAGGATCGGACCGGACCCTTCTGGACCTCGGTGTTGGTTCCGTCAGCAGCCCGGGTGACTGAAGCGCTCTCCCGTGTTTTCCGCTGCAGAGCGCTGTTGTGAGCGTTATGGCGACCTGCAGGGGGAGCTGCTGTGTGTGGACCTGGAGAAGGACCGGCAGGGTTTGGGTCTCAGCCTGGCGGGAAACCGGGACCGGTCCCGGCTCAGTATCTTCGTGGTGGGCCTCCATCCCGGCGGGCCGGCCTCCAGAGACGGACGGATCCGAGTGGGAGACGAACTGCTGGAGGTGAGGAAGTGCCAACCGGCTGTTTCTGCCTCACCTGAAATCACCTGGATAGGTTCAACATGTTCCTCCTGTCTGACCCGTTTGGACCGGTTTAATGAACAAGGTCAATTACCTGTGTGTCCATCAGATCAACAACCAGATCCTGTATGGGCGGAGCCACCAGAACGCGTCGGCCATCATTAAGACCGCCGCCGCCAAGGTGAAGCTCATCCTGCTCAGGTATGAGGCAAGGCATGCTGGGAAAACCTGATCATTGGTTTCTGTTCCTGAAAAGCCATCAGATGTAAACATCAATCCGCCATCTTTAACCTGGATTAAACTTGGACCGGGTCCGATCTGCATCTATTCTGAGACCTGGTCACCTGCTGCTGTGTGGTGCATGTTGGGTAAAGGTCGCCTCGGCAGAACCAGCAGCTGAGAAGAGAGGAAAAAGATCCGACATGATGGAACCGGGTCAGAATAAAGTTCTGTTCAGGTTCTGATCCATTTAAAAACAGCAAAATATTGGTTTAGCCTTTGAAGTAGACACCAACTTCAGCGCCACAATGTTTGGACCTGGAGGCTGAGAAGATCAGCTGGTTCTGATGTCCCAGTATGAACTGTTATGGCTCTGGTTCTGCCCCCTGCTGCTGAGGAGGAGGAACTGCTGTTTCACGTGAAACCGTCTGCAATCCTCATGGTCAACAAGACCCGCCCAGAAACGGCCTGGAGCGTTCTGATTGGTCGGCCTTGTCATGATGAGGTTCTGTTGCGGTTCTGTAACTTCTTCTGCAGAAACACCAGCAGCTGTTTGCTTTCACTTTCTTCTTCTATGTCTCTAGAAACGACGACGCTCTAAACCAGATGGCTGTTTCTCCTTTAACGGCCCCTCCTGTTGCCCCTCCTGTTGCCCCTCCTGTTGCCCCGCCCACCCTCCTCCGGGCCAGCCTGGAGGTAAACACACACACACACCTTCACACACACCTCAACACATTAAACTTCAACCATGAGAAATCTTCTGGTGCCATCAGGTTCTTGGGGTCAAAGGTCAGTCAGGAAACAGAACCTGCAGTGGTGATTCCCTCCAGCAGGGGGAGCCGCAGCATCCTGACCAAACATAGAAGAATCTGAGGTAGAATCAGAACCGGGTTCAGATGGATGTAAAAACATGGCCGCCTCTGTGTTTCCTGGTCAGGTCGGAAGCTCCGCCCCCCCTGAGCGGCTCCGCCTCTCGCCGGACCCGCCGGTGAGATCCGACCCATGTTCTGCCGAACAGGGCCAGAACCCGACCGACGGGTTTGCTCGGAGCGACGACGCCACCCCAGAGGCGGAGACGCAGAGGACGGTCCGGAGAAACTCCGCCTCTTTCGGCCACTCCCAGGTTCATCCTGCAGTGTCCAGTTAGAGGACAGACCAGAACCAGAACCTTGACCCGCCCTGTTCTGTGTTTCAGAGGCTCAGCGACGCCACAGATAGTGATCCGCAGGCTGCCAGGGCGCCGCCGGTGCTCCAGGTACACACAGCAGACCATGGGCCTCTGAAGCGGGTCGGCTCAGAACCGGCTTGTTTAACATCAAGCTGACCCGGTCTTCTCCGGGTCAGAAGGTTCTGATCTGTTTTTAACTTCCATCAGAACCAGTTGTAAACACGCCCAAATATGGCGCTTCTTGCCGTACATTTTCCAGAACCAACATTTGGACTGAACTTAAATCCAAGCAAAAGTGTTCAGAACCGACCCGTGTCAGACCCAAAGAACCAGCTACACAAGACCAATGTTCCCTCTAATTGTTCATGTGTCTGGGCGTACACACAAGCTTCCTGGGCCACTGAGGACCACTGTGAGCATCATCAGTGTACACGGCGTGGCCACGCACAAGTATCATAAATCTGGAATCATAGAAAGTTGCATGGCTTATTAAAAAAATCAAATTACATCAGCAATTTTCATTTGTTTGCTTTTAATTTAATTAAATTAAAATAAAAAAAGAAAAGAAAACATTGCTGTTCATGAGATGCATGCTATAAGTAAGAGTCCTGCTTCAGCCAGAGTGAGAAATGAGACATTACACCTTTCAGACATGAATGTTTGTTCATATTAAAACATTCATATTTTGCACAATGAAATGTTTTCTGTAGCTTGTGATGCAGTATAAATTCTTGTAAAATATTTAATTACAGTTTTTTTCACGTCTGCCCTTCTCACTTCTCCAGTGGTTGTTCACTTAGCCCAGGTTGATGGTCAGTCTGCTTCTTGCTTTATGTGCTTGAATTCAGCATATTGACTGTTAATGGCCTCCATAATCTGTGGGTGGAGGAGAATGGCCTCATACTTCTTTGCCAGTGTACAAATGTCTGCTTATCCATAGTCAAAAGTCTGAACTCAACATTTCAGTATCAAATGCAGACCATTCCTTTCATTTGATTTGATACCATTTGATCTTAGAAGAAGTGCATTTCTTTTTTTTACTTTGTCTTGGTGAGTGGATGTCCCACTAGACATGATAAGCTGATGGCTTTCACGTTTCTTAACTCTACCGCTCTATTCTGACCTGCACGGCCATATGACCAAGGCACGTAACCCACGTAGCGAAAGTGAACCGTATCGTATCATTGGCTGGATTCCTGTCACTCACTGAGTTCGATGCAAAGTAGTACGGAAAAAAAAAATATTGGTCCATAGTCAAAACTGATGTCTGAGTTCAATGTCCACTTTACGTTGGACTTTATTTTATGCGCTACATAGATTTTCTTGTGCGCTGAGAATATGTGAGCAGAGCACGATTGCGCAGCTTAGAGGGAACATTGCACAAGACCTGGATCAGAACAGAACCAGAACCTGGAGCCGGTTCTGGTTCGGGTTTACGGTTCTGTTCTGATCGGGATCCAGTCCAGCAGCTCCAGCCGACAGACGGCAGCTTCTCCTCCTCTGGTTGGCGCCGAGGTCCAGTGCGCTAGCCGAGGTACCGCCCACGGTTCTGGGCGACCCACGTCGGACCCTTTCCGCTGCGCCGTGGTTCCGGGTCAGGAAACGGTTCTGGAGATCTGCAAGGGTCGGTCCGGACTCGGGCTCAGCATCGTGGGAGGAACAGACACCCAGCTGGTAACAGCTAGTTCTGTCGGGCTGAACAGAACCGGTTCGGTCTCAAACGGGTCGCGGTCTCTCCTGCAGAACGCCATTGTGATCCACGAGGTGTACGAGGAAGGAGCGGCGGCCCGGGACGGACGGCTCTGGGCCGGAGACCAGATCCTGGAGGTACCGCTGCTGGTTCCAGTTCTGTTTCCGGTTCTGCTGGGCTGACACTCATTTCTGGGTCCAGGTGAACGGCGTGGATCTGCGCGGGGCGTCCCATGAGGAGGCCATCGCCGCCCTGCGGCAGACGCCAGCGAAGGTCCGGCTGACGGTTCTGAGGGATGAGGCCCGGTTCCGGGAGGAGGAGAACCTGGACCGGTTCCGGGTGGATCTGCAGAAGAAGAGCGGCAGAGGACTGGGCTTCAGCATCGTCGGCAAGAGGTCCGACTTCCTGTCAGCTAACCCTAACTCTGTAGAACACAGGTGTGAAACTCCAGTCCTGCAGGTGACCTCTGGGTGACCTCCAGGTGACCTCTAGGTAGAAAACGTCTTGCTTTCCGGATGTCCTGCTGCCGACCTCATTAATCCATCCAGGTGGAGCAGCAGAGCCTCATCTAACGGTTGCAGGAAACCCTGAGTTCTGGAGTTTCACACCTCTGCTTTAGGGGAACCGGACCGGGACCAGAACCGCAGCCCGGTTCCGCTGAGCCCAAACAGATGAAGAATCTAAATGTGGCGCCTACTACAGCTGAATGATGGTACTGGACCTGTGTGTGTGTGTGTGTGTGTCTGCATGTGTGTGTGTGTGTGTCTGCATGTGTGTGTGTGTCTGTGTGTGTTTGTGTGTGTGTGTCTGCATGTGTGTGTGTCTGTGTGTGTCTGTGTGTGTCTGCATGTGTGTGTGTGTGTCTGTGTGTGTGTGTCAGGAGCGGCAGTGGCGTGTTCATCTCGGAGGTGGTCAGAGGGGGCGCCGCTGAGCTGGATGGACGGCTGATGCAGGGAGACCAGATCCTGTCGGTGGACGGAGAGGACACGAGACGAGAGACCCAGGAGGGCGTGGCCGCCATGCTGAAGGTGAGGAAGAGATGGAGGACGAAGGCAGGAAGGAGCAGCCGGTTCTGGTTCTGATCGGTCCTGGACAGAACCAGGAGGAGGGTGTGATTACTTTAACCTGTAGTTTTTATCAGGCTCAAAATAAAACAAAATGTTTTCATAAATTTATTCACAGAAATAAAACGTTTCAGTTGTGATGACCTTTGACCTGTCCCTAGAAGCGGGTCAGACGTCCTGACCTGGTTCTGAGGAGCTGCTCTGGTCCAGTTGGACAGGAAGGGTTGGTTCTGTTCAGTAGAACCACTTTAAGAACCAGAACTCTAGGGCATGTGCAGAGCTGATTCTGGTTCTGTCCCACTTCCCTGTGGTTCTGTTGGTTCTGCAGTGCGCCCGTGGACCCGTCCAGCTGGAGCTCGGCCGCCTCAAAGCCGCTTCCTGGATGTGCTCCAGACTGGCCACCGGGGGGAGACAGGTGGGTTTCTGGGACCGGATCAGAACCGACCGGGCCCGGTGGAGCCGCTGGTTCAGATCAAGTTCACACCCAGAACCTCATGTAACTGCTGCTGGTCGTCATGGTTATGATTTGAAAAGTGTGGCGTACTTCTCCAGCTGTGCTTCCATTGATGCAGATATTAACCAAATTATAATTCTGAAAATAAATATTCTGCAGAAACGCACCAAATAAAAAAGGGAAAAATTTTCCAGCCGTTTTCTGTCAAACTGCACCACGAGTTCTGACCAACAGGATGCTACTGCTGGCAGAAACGCAGGAGAAGAAACGACAGGAAGTGGCAGCGATTGCTAATTTCCAATTCATCCTCTTTGTTTGGGATTGTTTTGCAGCTTTTATTACCGAAAACGTTTCTGTTCCTTCCAGGTGAGCAACATCAGCAGCTCAGGTGTTGAGGCCTCACCTGACTCCCTGGTGACCATTGAGCCAATCAGCGCCAAGACCGGCTGTGACATCACTTCCTGCTCCGAGAGCAGCTCAGGTGAGGCACAGAGGGAGATTTTGATTTGATTTTTAAAAGCATTTATTCACTTAGTAGTGATCCATAGGAACATTCAACGCAAATTCAAATGAACGCATTCATAAAGTTCAGAATAATATAAAGTCAATAATGGAAAAATATTTTCATCCACTTTTAAATATCTACATTGTAACGTCACTGTTGCTGTAACCAAACTGCTTTGCACAGTCAGTATTGTAATCATTATTAATTTGGGGGGCAACAGCTCTACTCCCAGAACCCTCCAGGACCCTCTGAGGGTGTAGAGCTGGTCCAGTGTTCCACGACCAGAACCAGAACCACACTGCTCTTCCTGAATCCGAGGTTCAGCTATCCGACGAACCCTCCTCTCCAGAACCCTGAATAGACCTGGCCAGGGAGGCTTTAGAGTGAGACCGCTCTCTAATTGGAGCACAGCCTCCGGTCCCCCAGTCTGCCAATACGGGGGAACTGCCCCCGATGTCCATGCGATACTGCAGAGTCACGTCAGCCAACACAACCCTACAACATCCAGAGCCTTGAGGAACTCCGGCCAGACGTCATCCACCCTGCGGCCCTTCCACCGAGGAGCTTTGTAACCACCTGGTCCCCAGAGCCTGGAGACCCGACCCAGAGTCCCCGGGCTCAGCTTCCTCAATGGAAGGCATGTTGGTGGGATTGAGGAGGTCTTTGAAGTATTCCGTCCACCGGGCCACAACGTCCCGAGTCGAGGTCAGCAGCCCACCATCCCCGCTGTAAACAGTGTTGGTGTTGTCCACCAACAGGTTCAAGGGTTGCCACCGCGACAGGCACTGACAACCTTGCAGCTGCAGCTCTGATAAGCCGCCTCGACAATGGAGGCACGGAACATGGTCCACTCAGAGTCGACGTGTTGGAAGCTCTGCCGGAGATGGGAGTTAAAGCTCCGTCTCACAGGGGATTCTGTTCCCAGCAGACCCTCACAACACGTTTGGGCCTGCCAGGTCTGACCGCCATCCTGCCCACCACCAGAGCCAATCACCACCAGGTGGTCAGTGGACAGCTCTGCACCTCTTCACCCGAGTGTCTAAGACATACGGCCGCAGATCCAATAAAACCTTTTAACTGAGCTCTTTTACCCCTTTATATTCCTTCGATTTTCTTTTAGTTGTGGTACTTTAAAAACTTTCATAATCAGACTTCTTCCACTATGAACTAAGTCATCCACATGGATTCCTCCTTGTGGAGCCGTTTGACTGTCTTCGCTCCGTTCAGCAGAAGTAATTGAGGTTGCTCTCCTGGTGAAGTTCCCTCCCAGATGTCTCCTCTGGTGTCTCTGGTTCACCATTTTCATTAACTGAAGCGTCTGTTGTTGAACCTTTCAGGGTAATCCGTCATAGTTACATCCAAAACACCTCAGAGTTTTCATTGTCTCAAAAATTGTGCAATCAAAGCTCTCAACCTTAAATTTCATCACTGTGCTCACTTCCTCAATATCGTTTTTCAGAATAGGAAACAGTTCTCTTCTAAAAGAATCATCTTGTTTCAACTTAGCTGATCATTACCGACACGATCTGAGCGCCACGATTCCTGCAGCAGGTCACTGACGGCAAATTAGACAGAATTCATTAACGGGAAACAATTTCTGTAATAATTCATCTCAGCTCCACTGAGAGAGAGAGAGACTCATCCAACCTGTGTGTGTTTCTGTGTGTGTGTGTGTGTGTGTGTATGTGTGTGTGTGTGTGTGTGTGTGTGTGTGTGTGTGTGTCTGTGTGTGTGTGTGTGTGTGTGTGTGGGGTGTGTGTGTGTGTCTGTGTGTGTGTGGTGTGTGTGTGTGTGTGTGTGTGTGTGTGTGTGTGTCTGTGTGTGTCTGTATGTGTGTGTGTGTGTGTCTGTGTGTGTGTGTGTGTGTGTCTGTGTGTGTGTGTGTGTATGTGTGTGTGTGTGTGTGTGTCTGTGTGTGTCTGTGTGTGGTGTGTGTGTGTGTGTGTGTGGGTGTGTGTGTCTGTGTGTGTCTGTGTGTGTGTGTCTGTGTGTGTGTGTGTGTGTGTGTGTGTGGTGTGTCTGTGTGTGTGTCTGTGTGTGTGTGTCTGTGTGTGTGTGTCTGTGTGTGTGTCTGTGTGTGTGTCTGTGTGTGTGTGTGTCTGTGTGTGTGTGGTCTGTGTGTGTGTGTCTGTGTGTGTCTGTGTGTGTGTGTGTGTGTGTGGTGGTGTGGTGTCTGTGTGTGTGTGTGTGTGTGTCTGTGTGTGTGTGTGTGTGTGTGGGGGTGTGTGTGTGTGTGTCTGTGTGTGTGTATGTGTGTGTGTGTGTGTGTGTGTGTGTCTGTGTGTGTCTGTGTGTGTGTGTGTGTGTGTGTGTGTGTTGTGTGTGTGTGTGTCTGTGTGGTGTGTGTGTGTGGGTGTGTGTGTGTGTGTGTGTGTGTCTGTGTGTGTATGTGTGTCTGTGTGTGTGTGTGTATGTGTGTCTGTGTGTGTGTATGTGTGTGTGTGTGTGTGTGTGTATGTGTGTCTGTGTGTGTGTATGTGTGTGTGTGTGTGTGTGTGTGTGTATGTGTGTCTGTGTGGTGTGTGTGTGTGTGTGTGTCTGTGTGTGTGTGTGTGTGTGTGTGTGTTTGCAGGCGTCCGGACGGTGCAGATCACCAGGGTAACGTCGTCTCACAACACACCTGAGTTCTTCAGAACCAGAACCGGTTCTCACTCTGCTGCTCTCTGATTGGACCATTGAGGTGTGTGATGTCACCATCAGACCCAACTGGATCTTCTCCAGAACCTCTGGTCCTGATCCAAAGGACTTTCAGCCGGGTCAAAACAGGGATCAGAATCAAAATAAATGGGTTAATCTTCAGAACCTACAGAAGTACCAGAGAAGTTCTGTGGTATGGTACCAACAAAGCGTGTACCATACCAGACTTTTGTTGGTATGGTACCAGTACCAGTACCTGGCCCGTCCAGCAGTATGCCTACTCCTCCAAATTTGTCTGGAAGTGGTTCTGACCTAAATCTAAAACTGTTCTGCTGTCCAGAACCCGACCTGAACCCGGTATTGGTCCCAACACCAGTCCAAAACCCATTACAGAACCCGATCCGTCTCCAGTCCAGAACCCACATTTTTGGTTCTGAACCATCCAGTTGAGCAGAACCAAGAAGAAAAAGCTGGGTCCAATCACTGAGCAGCAAACAGACCGTCCTCTGGTTTCCTGTGAATGAGAGAGGTTCTGGTTCTGACCCACTCAGGGCAGCGGCGACTCCCTGGGGGTGAGCGTGGCGGGGGGGCAGGGCAGCCCGCTGGGGGACGTCCCCGTCTTCATCGCCATGATCCGGGCCAACGGCGTCGCCGCCAAGACGCACCAGCTGAAGGTGAGCGCCGCTCTGGTTCTGGTTCCGCTCCAGAACAACTCGGCGTGACCCGATCAAAAGCTTCTGCTTGTGTCCATTTCTTCTTGCTTCATCCATGAAGTTCCGGTTCTGGTCAGGAACCGTCACCTGTTTATCAGACTGGAGCAGAAACAGAACCGTGCAGAACCTTTTCAGTAATCTGTAGGAAGAGGAAGCAGGTTGCAGCGAGCCGACGGTCGGCCATGTTGGCTACGCTGCAGGGAAACCAGCAGAGCTTCTTAACTGAGAAGCAAAAACCACCTCAAACTGGGAAAAGAGGTAAAATGTTTCTGTTTCTGATGCGATTCTGAAACGTGCTTAAAAACCATCGACGGAAAAACACGCTGAGTGACAACAACTTCCTCCTCCACCAAACTGAAACTAGATGGAGGCGTCAAGTTTTAGCGGGTGGAGGATTCGGCTAAAAAACACGAGACATTTCTACTGCTAGCGCTAAGCTAACACGACAGCTTTGGTTGTAGTTACCCAGAATGCCCTGCACTGTAGTCCACTCCCTGCGTTTGGAGCGGTTCCTGGTCCGCTTGGTGTTCACATTCAAACTGAACCCAGACCGAGGTTTGGAGGAGCAGAGGTCAGAGGTCAAATAAAGTTCACATTAAGTAAAACAAACCGCAGTTTATAGACAAATGGACTGGATTTGGGTTAAAGTGGACTGAACTGGGCTTTGGAAACCGCTGAGACCTGACCCGGTTCTGAAGTCATCTGGTGGACCGCGGCTGCCTCTCACATCGGCCAACAAAGTAGGAGGAACTTTTTAGCTGGGAGGAAAGACGAGTTTCAGTTCAGCAGCCAGAGGGAGACGATCCACCGAGGCTCCGTCTGCGTAGGGTCAGGGTTGGGGTCAGGGCCGGGGTCAGGGTCGCCAGCCGACCTCAGAGCTGCTAGAGCTCACTTCAGCAGGGACCCAAAAACACTTTAAACCATCGATAAGACCTTAAACTGGATCCTGATGCAGCAGGGAGTCGGTGAAGGGGTCGTAGAACCAGGGTCACAGATTGCTGCAGCATCGTGGAGCTGCAGCATCGTGGAGCTGCAGCATCTTGTTTGCGCTGCTGCAACGCTGCATACAAAGAGTCAGGATAATCTAAACGTGACGAACGACGGGATCAAACTCAGGCAGAGGAAGATGAGATCTGACCTTAGCAAGGATCTGGCTTTGATAGCAGCGCTAACATGCTAATCACATTTAACAGGATCAACAATCAGAAAGACGTCTGAAGTTGGATAAGACATTGGAATCGAGGTTTAATGATCGGATGGAAAACCTCCAGACATCACCAGCATTTTAACAGAACACGAACCAATACAGTCGCTGGAACTTTAACAGTTTTATCAAGTCATGAAGGGAAAGCGGCTCTAAACCTTCAAGGGTTGCATTGCAAAACCATCGGATCCAGAAACCATCGGATCCGGAAACCATCAGATCCAGAAACCATCGGATCCGGAAACCATCAGATCCAGAAACCATCGGATCCGGAAACAGGAGACGGTCAGGAAGTTGGAGCCACATTTTACATGTCAGTGTTGGAAATCGCTTTTGGTTTGTGACATTTTAAAGATTTCACAGCTCTCTGGTCGTTAGCAAGGCCGTTTCTAAGTATTTGCAAAGAAATACAGAAAGAACCCAAATGGTACCGCTGGTACCGGTCTGCCTGAGATGAGGATGTTCCACCTGTTCCATCAGGTTTGTTCTGGTCCGGTTCAAAGACGGGCACCCCTGTCCTTAGGGGGTCGTTGAGTGTCTGCCAGGTGGACGAAGCTCCATCCCAGTTCACCTGTTCAGTCAGAACCAGCTGTTCACTGGGGTGTTCTGCACTCGGGTTCTGATCCAGTCTGGACCACATTCCACCTGGACCTCCAGTTCTCACACAGATGTTGCTGGTTGCTGGGTTCCAGAAGCAGGAGAACATCTTTGGTTCTGGTTGAGGTGCTAGAACTCAGGCCTGGTGTTCTGGTTCCTGTCCGCTCTAGGCATTGGTAGAACTCCTTTAGAGTTCTGGTGGTACTCTCCATCCAGAACCGTGACGGACCCTCCCAGTCCACCGGGTTCTGATGGCGGAGACCCTCAGAGGTTCTTCCTGGTGGCCCATCTTCCTGACGGCTCCGGTACTTGCTGGCCCGGGTTCTGGACTTCAGTCTGGTTCTGTTCTGAAAACATGGCCTGCTGAAGGCGGTTCTGTTAGGTGCAGCCGGGTCGGTTCTGTGTGTCTGCAGGTGGGGGACCGGATCGTCAGCGTGGGGGGACAGCCGGTGGACGGCCTGTCCCACAGCGAGGTGGTGGCCATGCTGAAGAACAGCTACGGGAACATCAGCCTGCAGGTGAGCCTCGGATCAGAACCGGTACCACAAAGTACAACCCAGGTTGTGGTCTAGCTCTGATGTCATTGTCACCGTGAAGAGCAGCTAGAACCGGGCCTCTGTCCGGCCCTGTCAACCTTCAGAACCAGAACCCTTAGACCCGGAACCTTTGGAGCTGCTCAGGTCCAACTGGGTGGTTCCAGGTCCAGACAAAGTCTTGGTTCTGGTGACCCACATGATTCCTGGACTACTTAAAGTTCCCATTATGTCTTGTTGGGGAGGTTCTGTTTGGTTCTGACCCGGTCAGAACGCATCCCTTCTCAGGACTCAGGGTTTCAGGTCCGATCAGTCGATTCTGATCGGACCTGCCGCCTGCTTGTTGGACCAACATCACGCTCATCGACCTCAACTCTGCCGCCGCAACTGCAGCCTGACGGCCGACAGCGACACACACACACCTGCTGAGACAGAGTGAGAACACACACACACACACACACCTGCTGAGACAGAGTGAGAACACACACACACACACACACACACACACACACACACAGACACACACACACCTGCTGAGACAGAGTGAGAACACACACACACACACAGACACACACACACCGAGGTGGAGGTAAGCTGACCTCTGACCTCTGACCCCAGGGGTCCTCGGTCCCGCAGCATCACTCTGGAGAAAGGCTGTGAGGGTTTGGGCTTCAGCATCGTCGGCGGCTTCGGCAGTCCGCATGGAGACCTCCCCATCTACGTCAAGACCGTCTTCAGTAAGGTCAGAACCGGCCGGTCCGCGGGTCGCCTCAGAACCTCCGTCCGTCCGTCCTGACTGTCCTGTGTCTCTGTGTCTCAGGGCGCGGCGGCGGTGGACGGGCGTTTGAAGCGCGGCGATCAGATTCTGTCGGTGAACGGTGAGAGTCTGCAGGCGGTGACCCATGAGCAAGCGGTGACCATCCTGAAGAAGCAGACGGGGACGGTCACTCTGGACGTCCTGTCCTGACCCGGACGTCTCCGCCGCCGTGTCTCCGCTTCCTGCTCCGCCCTCAGGCGCCTCGCCGGCTGCTGCATGCGCTCCTTCCTTTGCAGCTTCTCAGTGGATCAACTTCCTGTCTGGTTCTGGAACCGGAGCGGCGCCTGGACCGGCCCACAGCGAACCGGGCTCAGCGGTCTGCCACCCGGTGGTCAGAGTGGGGACCGCAGCCTGTCCTCCTGCAGGTTCGCTTCGTTTCCACGGGAACGCTCGGATCTGACCGACTGTGTCTCCATGGCGACGCCTGTCATTCCTCGGGTCGAGCCTGAGGTTCTGGTTCTGGTTCTGGTTCTGTCCGGATCATTCCCGGCATGTTTCAGACTTCCCCAGTGTTCCCAGTGTTCCCAGTATCGATGCATGCAGCAGCACCACAGCTCAGCACGGAGCCGTCTGATTGGTCAGCAACTATGATGTCACACCAGGTCGCAGAAAAGCCGAGACGAGGTTCTGTCGGGTCCCGGTTCTGGTTCTCTGGGTCGGTGTGGCTTCCTGCCATCAGGCGACCCGAACCTTCCGGTTCCGGTTCTGTTCCAGGTCCAAAGTTCTGTTCATCAATTTGTTACTTTATTACATGCATTTCTGATTTCTCTGGGTGTATTGTTCGTCCATCTCCATGGAGACGGCTCTCAGGATGTTGTTGGCATGGTGCCCGTTGCCTTGACAACAGATGTGGTGTCTTCCACATTAAGCTGCAGACTGACGACCCTCATGACCCTCATGACCCTCATGACCCTCACGACCCTCACGACCCTCATGACCCTCACGACCCTCACGACCCTCACGACCCTCATGACCCTCATGACCCTCACGACCCTCACGACCCTCACGACCCTCATGACCCTCATGACCCTCATGACCCTCATGACCCTCACGACCCTCATGACCTCATGACCCTCACGACCCTCACGACCCTCATGACCCTCATGACCCTCATGACCCTCACGACCCTCACGACCCTCACGACCCTCATGACCCTCATGACCCTCACGACCCTCACGACCCTCACGACCCTCACGACCCTCACGACCCTCACGACCCTCACGACCCTCATGACCCCAAAGAAATGTCCAGAGCAGAGGAGCGAGTCTGGAGAAACTCCTGGAGGTTTTCCTGGATTCCCAGAAATCCAGGCCAGTTTTCCTGTAAACATCCAGCTTGGATCGTTCCGGCCGTTTCCTGCTGAGCAGAGATGGGATGGCGGCCAAACGTCCCACAGCAGCTGCTGGGAAAATCATCTCCACATTTCAAACCTGCCTCAGCAGCTCCTCGGTGCTGCAGCTCCTCGGTGCTGCAGCTCCTCGGTGCTGCAGCTGAGCTTCTGCTTTAAAACCTGGGTGTTAATGCTAAAGCGTTAGCTTTCTCTTATAAGCAGAACTAAGCTAAGCTCTGTTAGCTCTTGGTTGTACAAATATGCTCAGTATTATAGCTTAGCTTAATTTCATTTCCACTCCATCTGTGAGCTAAAGGTTTCTAATTTAATGTTCACAAAATATTTAGAGAGCAACGTTTAATATTTCACTAGATTGAAATTTAGTTTCGTAGCTAAACTGGCCAATCGTTTACATTTTACTGTTAATCAGTCTGAAACACTGACATTTTAATTATGAATGTAAAATTGGTCAGGAAGATTAATACAAATGTTTATAATTCTTGAGAAGCTAAAGCTAATTTGTTGTTAGCATAACAGTAGAGAGCAGCTAAAGGGAAAACAGTCTGCAGACATTTACATATCAAGTCATGTGCACAAATATTCTGTCTTAATTTATTTGCTGTTTCCACTGGAAATAATCAGATTTCTGTGTTTTTGTTGCCACTTTGTGCCGCGTCCCATCAGAACCTGAAACGGGTCTGTTTTAGTTTCATGTCATGTTGCCAAATGTTTTTGATTTATGGTGAGATTTAAATGATGATTAGTTGAGAAATAAATAAAGATGAATGAAGTCAGACTTTCTCTGTTTATCAGGAACAAACAAGACCTTTAAACTGTTTCACTTTGCATTAAATTCATTCTGTCACTTGATTAAAGATTAAACTTTCTGTTGATATACACTACCATTGAAAAGTTTGGGGTCTCCTCATTCAGTACTGTAGCTTCTGTGAGGAGCTAAACTGTTTTCAGATGTGTGAACATGGTTGCACAAGGGTTTTCTAATCATCATCTAATAATCTTCTGAGCCAATGATCAATCACATTGTACCATTAGAACAGTGGAGTGATAGTTGCTGGAAATGGGCCTCTATACACCTATGTAGATATTGCACCAAAAACCAGACATTTTTAGCTAGAATAGTCATTTACCACATTAGCAATGAATAGAGTGTATTTCTTTAAAGTTAGGACTGGTTTAGTTATCTTCATTGAAAAGTTTGGTGCTTTTAGTGACATTTCAATGTGACCCCAAACTTTTGAACGGTAGTGTATTTCAAACTAAATATTTTGAAGTGGAATTTGAACCTGCAGCAGCTAACAGCATAGCTAACGGTAAGCTAGCAGTAAGCTAACGATAAGCTAACGGTTAGTGGTTCTGGTTCTGACCAGCATCTGGTGATGGATCGGAACCGATACACTTGATCATTTTACTCTTCATCACTTCACTTGATATTTTTATCAATATTCTGTTTGTGATTCTGATTAGAATTTAAAATATTTATTTTTCTTTGAATCTGAAAAGGAAGTGAAACTGAATTTGGATCCTGGAGTTTTTATAGTTGGTGATAAAAATGATATTTAAAGGTTTACAAGGAAACATGACCTTGATTAATCATTCATGTTCAGTTGCTAACTCAGGTCTGGACTTTGACTGGGACGTTTTATCTCGTGGTGCTGTGAAGTTCAGGAAGACTCCGGGAGTCGGATCAGAACCGTTTATTCCAAGACGTTCATGTTCACACAACAGAAACATTTCATGGTGTTTTCACTGAACGATGAATCATTGACAGCTCAGATCAGTGATTAATCTGGATCTGGCTGCTATGGGTTACTGGTCTCTAGGCCAGGATCACATGATCGGGACGATTGAACTCTGATTCCAGGAAGGCCAGAGCCAATGGGATGCCTGCAGGCCGGTCACATGGCCGTAGATTTTTCCTCCACGGCGGTGATGACGTTGTCGTAGACGTTGCTGCTGTCTCTGGCTCTGCAGCACAAACACAGTCAGCTTTAAGGTCCAGATTTGTGAGCAGCGAGGCTTCACCAGGAAAACGCACTGGTTAGAAAATGGGATTTTCAGCTGCTTCCATTCACCGTTGCCATCTCTTAACTTCCTAATGCTAATGACTCAGCCTGGGTTTCTCCAGGGATGCTGGTCAGAACAGGAGCAGGAGCTCCGGTCGTCTCCTCACAGAGCTTTTAAACCTCTGGACAGGTTCCGGTCTGCTGGGTCTCCAACATTTGAATAAATCATCAAATGAATCTTCACTCTCTGGACTCTGTCTAGACTTGAGTCATTTTGTGTTTTAGTTTAATTCTGATGAAGTTCTGATCCCAGAGTTCTGCTGCGGTTCTGACCGTTCTCCAAGTCCTGACCAGTTGCTGCGACTCGTCTGCGGTTCCTACCTGGTGAGGTCCAGCCGCGTCTCGTGCTTCTCCGACTCCAGGCTGCTCCTCGGCCTGCAAACAGAACCGGGTCGAATCAGTCCAACGTAAAACACCCGGACCGGGCCGGGCCGGGCCGGTTCACCTGGACCAGGAGGCTGCAGGTGGCGCCACTAACCACCGATAAGAGGAAGTTGGGCAGATATTCAGCTTTCCTTTAATATTTTTGATATTTCAGTAGAAAAAACTTTCTCCAAATTATTTTTCCTTTTATTAAAGTTATAAAATGATCAGCTCAACAAAAACTTATAAGATCACCAATATTAGAAGAAAAAAACATTTCATTAACAAAAAGAAAAGCTTTGATTGAAAAAACTAAACTAATTAGTTTTAATAAAGTAACAAATGAACTAAATTAGAGTCTCTAGGCAGGAAGTTAAACTTGTTTTCTGCTGCGCCGCCTCCAGCCAGCAGGTGGCGGTAAAACCGTCTCCGTTCTGCTCGGAAACTGAAACAGCAGCTGCTTCACCTCAGGACGTCCAGGTTGCTCTCGTAAGCGTTGCTCTCAGAGAAGGCGGCGCCGGAGCTCCTGCTGACGACACACACACACACACACACACACACACACACACACACACACACACACACACACACACACACACACACAGGATTCACCAGCAGCTCATGCTGACCAATCAGCAGTCGGCTTCATCTGAAACATTGGCCTGCTAAAAGTGGTCTAGTCCAATCAGCTGTCTGACTGTTTCTGCTCCTCAGAGGTGATGAAGATGAGGTGATGAAGATGAGGCGATGAAGATGAGGCGATGAAGATGAGGTGATGAAGATGAGGTGATGAAGATGAGCTGCGACTGACCTGCTGGATTTGCACCAGACCTTCTTCACCAGCGCAGCGATGAAGGTGAGGATGAGGAAGCCGCAGACGGCGACGATCCCCGTCAGCCACTGGGGCAGCAGCCGCTCCTGGTGGCCGGCCTGGCCTGCAGGCAGAGGTCAGAGGTCACTGGCTAGCCAGTCAGAGTGGAGCGGTTCTGACCCGGTTACTCTGGAACCGGTCCTGCTGACCTTTGACCTGTGGGCAGAGCTCCCTGGTGAACAGCAGCAGATCTGGTTGCTTTAAATCTGTTCCTAGATCAGATTTACACTGTAAAACACCAACAGCTAACTAAAGGTTCAGTTTTCAAAATAAAAGCCCATCCTCTGCTGACAGGAAACAAGTTGATAAAAAATCTAAATGTTTAGAAACTCTTCAGTTTAAGAGTTCCACAAAATGCAGCTTTTATTTTGATATTCCACTTCCAGTTATTGGCAACTCAACTTGCAACTAAGCTAAATATTTAATTTAATATGGAAAATAAATATTTGTTTTAATGTAGATATTTAGAAAGCAGAATTTAAAGTTGCTTTGGATCAAGATATTTAGTGCATTAAATATTTGGAGCTAAATATTAACTTTGCAATTATTTCCGGCCAAATATTATGTTTGAATTCAATATTTAGTTTGCAGCTGATATTTAGCAAAGCAGGAACAACATGGTGAGTTTTTCAATATTCAGTTCAGTGGTTTTGAAAACTGAACTGAACCAAATGATTGCTGTTCATTTTTACAGTGTAATTTTACAAACTGGACCCACAAATATTCATAAATATTCTGCTGTTTTTAGTAGTTCTGCTCCAACAGATCAGTTGCTGGTTTATTGTTTTATGATCATAATAAACGGAAAAGATTCTTCCTGGATCAAAGTTCCTTTAAAACTTTAAACATTTAAAGTTTAAACATTTTAGCTCGAATCAAATGTTTCTTCATTTTATTCCATAATTTAGATTTTAAACTGTTTCCTGCTTTAAACTTCACATCATTTGGACCGGATTGGATCTCAGAACCTCAGATTGGATCCCGGTGCAGGTGAAGCAGCTTACCTGTCTGGGCCGCCGTGGCTCCGACCAGAACCAGAACGCAGAACGTCAGTTTGGTTCTTCCCATCTCTGAGTCTGAAGCTCTCTGAGTGCTGCAGGTTTTCCTGCTGCAGGTTTTCCTGCCGCAGTTCGGATCATTTCTGTTAATCTGTAACCGGGCTGTTATCTGCTCCACTGCCTCGGCCCGACTGCGGCCACAGAACCAAAACCGGAGCCGGCTTCCTGCTGGAAACCGGGCCAGAGACCCGGTTTCTCTGCACAAAGTTCACCTGCAGAAAACCGGAAACGCTTTCAGGACGATTCAGGCTCTTCTCGGGTTGCCAACGCAACCAGACTATCACCATGGCTGCATCATCACGTTCACAGAACCGGAACCGAGCCCGGTTTGGTATCGGTTTGGTATCGGTTTGGTATCGGAGGGCGTGGAAACGCGTGGGGGTGAGTGGAAATCAGACTGGGATGGATTCATATCTCATTTCTCTGCTGCAGTTTCTCATCAGAAGTTTATTAATTTTCTCAACGTTAAAAATGTTTTATAAATGTTCAGTGTTTCCATCCAATCACATTTCTTTCTGCTCTGTTTCTAGGCAGAATATGATTCTGATAAGAAAAATAAAAAATGTGACAGCGGATGGTTGTTTCTGCGTGGTGTTTAAGGTTCCAGCTTTATCTCATTGAGTTAAAATGCATCAGAAATCACTAAGAGTAGTTGGTCTTTAGTAGCAGCTACTTTGGTCGCGCAATTCTGATAAAAAATAAAAAATGTCCAGAGCAAGAAAACAAAACATTTCACCTGCAACATTATTGAAGGATTTTGTGTTTTCATCTACAATCATTTGCTTCCATTTCTTACAAACTGGATAAGAAATGATTATCCAGTTTGTAATTCCCATAGTAAAAATAATATAGGAATGATTTTTAATTCCTATATTGCACAATTAAGTATGTTTGAAATAAGTTTTTCTTACATTTTTTGCCTCAAACTTGTTTTTACTTTACAATTTTGCTCCAATTAACACAAAGTTTAGAGACATTAAGATGTTTCTGACAGCAATGGCCTAGTCAAAGGACAGAGGAGAAACCACAAAATGTTTTCCTTTGATTGCTGAGAAACGAGCAGAAATGATGTGCTGGTTGGAATAGATCAGGGGTCAAAGTTCAGTCCTTGGGGCCGCTCCGTTTCCTCCAGATCATAGACGCTGCAGGGCAGCCAGCGACCTCCAGTCTGGAGTTTGACCCCTGTGGGAAACAGGATCAGATCAACAGGAAGTAAAGCCACACTGGATTACCAAAATAAAACGGAACCCAAACATGGAAACTTAAACCGTCCAAAGTAAACAGAATCTTTTATTTTTCAGTAAAAATCAAACTTTGCTGCTTGAACGTCTGGATGAAGCGACTGGTGCTGTTAGCATTACAGCTAGCATTAAACTACTTCCTGTTTCCTGCAGGCCGACGTCCAGCAGATATTTAGGATCTGAACGGAGATAAAGCAGAAGACGGACGGGTTTAGGGTTCTGGTTCTGGTTCTGGAACAGGAGAACGTTCTTCGCTCCAATAAATGATTGTTGGACATCAGAAGATTTTATTAGAAGATGACAAAAGTCTGAAGCTTGGAAGCAGAACCTTTCACAGTAAAGCTAGTGCTGTTTCTACATGATGGAGGTGAGCAGAAGTCTTCAGCGTCTGCAGGTTCCTACAGCAGGACGCAGGCGGACGACCGCTTCCTACTGAGCATGCTCAGTAGGTTCAGGCTGATCTGGGCCGGGTTGAAGTCCTGCGGGTCGGAGCGGCAGGTCCGCCGGTCGGTCCCGCCCTTCTCCCTGGAAGTGACCCGGTACCGGGCCTTGATGTTCCTCAGAGGGTCGTGGTCCGGGTCGACCCGGTCCGGACACCTGAAGGCCTCCTGGACGACGCGGCCCTGCAGGGTCAGGCCCACGAAGCCGTTCCTGAAGGTCAGCATGCGGACGAGCGGCGAGTAGACGAACTGGACGCACAGCAGCTTCCCTGATGGAGACAAACAGACGCATCGGACCAGAACCGGACCAGCCGGAGAGAAGAAGACCAACTGGCTCAGAAAGATACACGGTGGAGGGAAGGAAGGAAGGACCAGTGCCAGCCAGTGGTGAAGTTCTGGTTCTGAAGGATTGGTTCGACGGCGGCCATCTTGCCGTGTCCCTGTTGGGTCCTGTAGTCGCCTCACCTGACGCGACGTCCCAGACCTTGACGGTTCGGTCCTGAGATCCGGTGAAGACGAAGCGGTCGCTGTCGGCGAAGGCGGCACAGAGGACGCCCTGGAAGAGAAGCGTCTGGTTGGAGCGGAGCAGAGTCTGGGTCTCCTGTGGCCTGAACCCGTCCGGTCTCACCTGGTACTCCATGGTGTGGTCCAGCGGGTCCAGGGCCAGCGGGTCCAGCGGGTCCAGGGCCAGCGGGTCCAGCGGGTCCAGGGCCCACAGCCGCAGCGTGGCGTCCTGGGAGCCCACCAGGACGTGCGTTCCCCAGTTGCTTGCCGTGACGCAGGTGACCCCGGAGCTGTGAGGCTGCAGGTCGGTGGCGACGCCGAGGCCAAAGTCGTGCAGCCTGACCTCGCCGCCGGCCGTCCCGTACAGCAGCCGGCGGCCGGGCAGCAGCGCCATGTGGGCCGGGGGGCCGTGGAGCGGCGGCAGCGCGGCCGTGGCCAGGGGCCCCTCCACGGCGGGGAAACCGTCTCTGCTGCCGATCTGGAACAGGCGCAGCGCGTCCCGGTGGGCGACGGCCAGCAGGCCGTCCTGGGAGCCCAGGGCCAGGCAGAGAACCGGGTCCAGGCCCTCCGGGGGCGGGATGCACAGCGTGTCCTGGGGCGACGCCAGCGGGTAGATCAGCACCGTGCCGCTGCGCAGGCCGCACAGCAGGAGGCGCTTCTGCTGCGCCAGCTCCAAGCAGCTGACCTCCGCAGACACCGGCAGGCGCTCCGACACGGAACCTGGGCAGAAACGGGCCGGGTCAGAGGAGAACCCGGATCCGGAGTTCTGGTCGGGGCCCGTTCAGAGAGCCGCTCTGACCTGTGCGCTTGTTCCAGCTCAGCACTTCCCTCTGGTTCTGGTGGCGCACGTAGAACACCTGATCTCCATCTCTGGTGACGGCGGAGTGGGCGGAGCCTGCCGGGATGTGGGGGAGGGGCTTGTGGCTGCGGTCATAGGTCAGACTCCACAGCTGGACCGAATCCGCCGCCGAGGAGGCCGAGACCGCCCAGTGGCCGTCGAGCAGCAGGGAGGTGACCGGAGCGCTGCAGCCGCACAGAGTGTCCACTAGGCGGCCGCTGGTCACCGACCAGACCTGACCAAACCAGACCACAGGAAGTTACTGCCACTGCATCCTGGCTTCCTTTCACAATAAAAGCTTCACTCATTCTTTCTTTCATTTTATTGACAACCTGCCAGTTTACTACAAACACCAAAAATCCAGTTCATAGAAATATATAATACAAACAGCAATCCCTCCTCCAGCAGAACCAGAACCAGAACTGGGCTCAATATCAGCAACTGGACGTCAGAGAAGACAGAGCAGAAGAACGGATCTAGAAGAAGTTTCTATGTTAGTGAAAGGCGGCTCGTTTAGAGACGGGTCATGATCTATAGAAGTAGAGCGGTTAGATTCTGGCAGCAGTCGCTCAGTTGATGTTGTGGTTCCTGGGAGCAGAACCGGACCGGATGGAGCAGAACCGGACCGGATGCTCATCCTGCTCCGATGGTTTTACCATCTGGATGTTCAGGATGTCTCATGAATCGGCTTCCCTTCCTGCTGTTAGTGAGGAAGATACCAGCTGAGCTCAGCGCTCGGTTCTCACTCGGATCAGCTGATCCGCCGCTCCAGTGACGACGCGTCGGCCGTCCAGCGACACGCAGGCCGATAAAACCTCATCGTCGTGCTGCAGCTCCAGGAATCGGTCCGCCGAGTCGCTGCAGACGCGGAACAGGCTCAGAGTCCGCTCCCATCCTGAACACAGCGGCAGGAAACACCTGGGTTTAGCTGGACCTCAGGATCAGAACCGGTCCAGTCGGGTCTCTGCTACCTGCTATGAGGATCTTCTCATCCTCTGAGGCTGAGAAAAGAGACGGAAGCTCAGGAAACTCTGCCACGGTTTGCTGTCCTGTTCTGCAGATCTGCAGACAGGAAGAACTTGTGAAACAGATTCATCACATCCAGACTGACCATAGAAATATTATCCTAGAACCTCAAACTGGTCCAGGTTCAGTGGAAAAACTCACCTGATGCAGGAATCCGTCTTCTGACACCACGAATAACGAGCCACGTTTAGGCGACGTCACTGAAATCACTGGACTCAGGCTCCGGGTCAGCCGCACCGTCGTCTGGCTCCCAGTAACCGGGTCAAAGATTCTGACCCGGTCCAAGTCGAGCAGAGACACCACAAAATCTCCCAGAACCCCCAAAACCAAAGAGCCGTCCTCACTGTGGATCTCGGTTCCGTCTGATGTCCAGACCTTCACCTGCAACAGCATCATGATGTGTTTAACCCTAAACACATCATGAGTAAGGACTGCACATGAGTAAGTGCAGTCCTTACTCATGATGCAGTAAGGACTGCAGAAAGCCTGTCTCTGTTAGAAGCAGACAGAACCTCAGACGGACTTTGGACTGAATGCATCCAAAAGACAAAGGGATCCAGAACTTTATGGCGACAGAGAGATGAAGCTAAAACCCAAAAGCCCCACAGAGGAACCGAAGAGACCAAAACCCGAATCAGCTAAAGTCCAAGGAACCTTCAGGAACAGCAAAGCCAATCAGGCTCCGCCCACCACCTACCTGCATCCAGGTGTGGACAAACAGCAGCTGGTCAGACACCTGCAGGTGAGCCGAGGAAGGGGCGGAGCCAGCAGGCCCCGCCTCCTGGATGCAGAACAGCTGCTGGCCGCTCTTTAAGCTCCACCTCCTCAGGGAGCCGTCTGCAGCCAATGAGAGGCAGTGGGCGGAGCTTTCGATGATCTTTACTGACAAGATGGCCGCTAAGACAGACAGGAAGTAGCCGTCATGGTCCGATCTGAGCTGTAAGAAATCTCATGTGAGTTTTCGGACCCACCTGACGGTCCCTGCAGAACCTGCAGGAGATGTTTGTCCAGGAGGCTCCAAACCGCCACCACGCC